ACGAAGGTCGATGAGCCCAAAATTTCAGTGCGCGATCGCATCAATGTATTCGAGGCAACGCCTTCGACTCCCACCTCCAACAAGCCCATGACTATTCAATCGCTGTCTGTGGACAGTGGGCGTGGCAAGGGACAGCTATCCCGGAATAGCAGTACACAGCGCTCTGAGTCCGAGATCGAGGAGGATGACTCGGGCGTAACGGACATGAATAGACAGCTCTCCGAGACGGACACCGAGTCCGAAAGCTTCCCCGAGCTACGAAAAATGACGAGCTATCAGCGAGCCGCGACACATTCCAGACTCTTTAAGCTGCTGCAGGACGAGAACGATCTGCCCGAGGCCTTGGAGACTGGCCAGGCGGACGAGTTTCAGTTCAAGCCGAGCAGACGCAAGATTGTTCACAACGTATCCATCACACGCCGCCAGAACCCGAATGCGCTCAGCGAGGCCGAGACCATGACACAGCGACGCGAACGACTCTCATTGCCCCTGCGCAAGAACACCAGCATCGATGCGGACAATCCTTCCACGCCAAACAGTCCCGCCTCACCCATTGTGGGGCCATCGCCCAGCAAGCAGCGCGTGGTTAGCGACAAGCTGGTGAACGAGCTGGTCCAGAGTCTGCTGCTCAAGAGCGACAGCACACACCTGCGCCAGCTGCCCATCGAGCGCCTGCAGGCGGCTGCCAAGCGCGCTCTGGCTGAGGAGATGGACTCCGTGGAGAACAGCTCGCTGGACAGCACGCCCGCCATAACACCCAAGCAGGACAAGGAGTATTCCGACTACTACAACAGCTGGACGGAGGCGAGTGGCGGCGAGGAAATCGTGCCCTCCAAAGCATTTCGGGCGCTACAGGATCCGCGTCGTAGTCCCTGGACGGTGCGCTGTCCCCGAGTGCTCAGCTCCAAGACAATCAATCGGGACTTGGCACGCGTTACCGAATCGCCCGAAATCCTGAGCAGTCGCGGCAGCAAAAGTCCCGAATGCTTTAGGCAACAGTCTAGGGAACGGTCCGTTAGCAGCTGGCGTAAGGTCTAGTCTGTCTATCTATCTATCGGGCTAGCTGGGAAGGGAAGGGGGTCAGAAACACATACATATATAGAAATATATTATATATATATGTATATAGATTTTAGTATTTGCATTTGAGTCTTGGTACTTGCCTAGGTCAATCGACTGTCACTAGTCACTGCCTTCATTGTTGCATTTCTCATCATCTCATCACATCATATCACATCACATCACATCACATTGTACAATATGACAAACAAAAATACTCAGACTAATAACTAAATATCTAATGAAAAATATAATATCTATAATCTGAAATGTATATAAACAAAATGAAACCAAAGAAAAAGAAAATCGTTCATTCGTTCGTTCGCTCGTTCGTTTGTTATCTCAATTAAAAGCGTAAACTCTTCGCCAAAGTCATTTCTAAATTCGAATCAAAACAAATAACAACTACAACAGCAACAACAACAGCAACAAAACAAAAGAGAATATTTAATCAAATCAAAAATCTATCAAATCGCCACAAGAATAATCAAAAACCAAAAAACAATTTCATCAACTCAATGATTTTGTAAAACTCGTTCAAAATCCTAAGGTACCTAAAACAAATTCAATTAAAATGTATATCCTATCCCAAAATTTCAACTAATTTTTTCGTTAATGTTTTTTTTTTTTTCTCATTATATAATATATATGTTTCAAATTTGCCCACTATCTATTCTATATGTATTTCTTTTATTTTTGCCGCTACTTGTTTTTTTTTTTTTAATTATGTGTGCCGTATCTCCTAATTATTTGCGATAAATATTTGCGATAGTCACATTTTGTACTTGAAACTAAGTAAATTTGAAACTAAATCTAAAAAATATAAATGAAAAATTTTAAATTGAAATTTAAACCCAATTAACCAGGTTTGTATCTAAATACAGTTACACAATTAACATCCATCTAAATATTCAGTAGAGCTGCCCAAAACATTAACCTCATCTAGATGTTATGTAGCACTTCGAAACATTTCCAAATCAAATTTTAACAAAATTAAAACAAAGGACTAAATGTCCTATCGCAAATATTTTTATTATCTTTACCTTTCCAAAAGTATTTTGATTTTTTTGATTTAACGAATTTTGGAGAGCAAACTCCACCTTGAACAAAATGCTGAAGAACGAATGAAGATTTTTTTTTAGTGTAACTATAAAATACTATTAAAAATAAAAAGAAAAAACACCAACGATTGCAAATTGTAAAATATAAAAAGTCGTTCAAAATATTAACAATTCATGAGTTTTTAATTCATAATTGAATGTTTTCTTTTCTTATATTTGATTAACTTGTTTTTCTTTTCTTTTCTTTTACACACAATTAAAAAATATATATTCTTAACAAAATAATTAATCGTTTACTATGATGACAAAGAATATGAATGGCTTTTTTATCCTAAAAAAAAAATAAATAAACAAAAAATAAAAAAAAATTTATAAAAGTAAAACAATTAAGGTGAAGTTTCCTCTCAAAGTTCTGTTGGCTGCTTTTGCTTTATTTATATTTATTTGCCGCTTCATTTGTATGTTATTGTTATGCTTTATTTTCTCCCATGTCTGGCCTATGGATATATAGTCATTTATATATCTTGAACGTTTAACAATCTAAGCAAAAAGGCGCAGACCAAGAAGTCTCCACAAATTATTGTTAGCTTTATTCGTATATGTTTTTGGTGAAATGAAAATGGAATACTTTAATTAATGATCTGCTTTACTTTGTATTCCAGGACCGGGACAATCGGATCTATAATTATTTCTCACAACCATAGAAATCAATTATAGCTGACAACAGACTACAGCAAATGATGCAACTTAATGCACTTGTCCCTAGCTTAAGTACCAGCAAATACTTAGGATCAGTGAAGTAAACAGAATAATGTTTAACTTGGGAACAATTTCTTTTTAGTGAAATTTCAGAAAACTAACTTTTAGCATTGTAGTTGAGATGAAAATGTATTTTAAAAATATTTTTTTCAATTGTTAAACGCGATTTGGTAGCAGCACTAAAACAAAAGGAGCAAAACAAAAAAAAACTAACACAACTTACGAACTCTATTAGCGAAGCGAATCAGTACTAACCGTAGCTCCTAAGCCGAGAGAATGAATTAATCCAGAGATAACAAAACGAAACGAAAAACAACGCAATCGACAAATCATCAAAATGTATCCGGATAATACGAAAGCGCATCCTGAAAACGATTCATAATATTCATAATAATAAAATGAAAACAAAAGCAAAAAAATAAATTTTTCAATTTATAAAATTTCTTTCCGTGTGTCGTCGTCAGCCAGCAGCTGTTTGATTTGAATAGTTTCTCATTTCTTTCACCAGCTTAACAACAGACTCTTTGTTTATGTCATAGCTATTTATACAGGAGAAAGATACTTACATATATACAAACATAAGGTATTCGTATGCATACGAGTGTGTTATCAAATCTATTTGACGACTATTATTATTTTATATACTCATATATATTTTTGTGTTGTATAATTTTATATGCAGTGACATTTTAAGTAAATAAAGAAATATTTAAAAAGTAAACAACAGATTGTTCATAATTTTGACATTCGATTTGACTGAAAAGGGGTAAAAGGTATACAGTAAACTTATTCATTGGGCTTGTTATTTACCTGTTCGTATAGTTGCAAATATGAAAGCTGCCCTCAAAATGAGAATGTGAATGGATTGCAAATGCAAATTATAAATATCTACATCTAACTGTTAACTAACATCGTATTGGTGCCCAACAGAAAGCTGTTAACTATTGACATATTTTAGTCCACATACGAAATTATAGATAACAGCTGGCTGTTAATGTGCACTGTTAATTGACGCACTGATTTGGTTAAATGTTAAAGCACTCTATCCATGACGTAGGGCAGACAAAGACCAATTTTTGGCAATCAAGATTGCCAATTCCAATTTAACAATATTTAAGAATAGAATATATTTGCTATATCCTAAACTTGATTTGAAGAAATGTAATTTAATTACGCTGTTTCCCACGCTGTTAAAATATTCAGGAAATGCTCTATCCGCAGCTTTTTGATAAAACGATTATCAGAATACTTGCATAGGTTATAATAGACAGTTTTCCATTTTAAATAACAAAATAAATAATAATAAAAGAGTGGAGTTAAAAGAGTTCTGAAACTTATTTGATGCCATAGATTATAGATCATACTAAATATACAATATTCAATTTTCAATATATATATTTCGATACAGTTTTCGATTTAATCTTATCTTCAGAGGTACAGAGAAGCCGAGTGTAGCAAAACTGTTGTACTTGTATGTAGTTACACATGTATTTAGGTACATGAGCTTGAATTCGTTTTAGGATATATCTTCGTAGTATACATATTTATATATATGTGGTTTCATAGTATATTTATATGTATATTAAAGTAGTATTCATATTGCACTTAAATAATAGTAAATTCACTAATCTACTATACGTTGTTAAGATAGGATCAATTATATTCATTATGCAAATATAATTGCTGTTTGACATATGTCGAGTTTACAGTATCTTAAAATGGACATGTTGAACAAAGCAACGGGCAATATACCTGCTCAAAACTCATCTACAGGCTGACTACAATTAACAACATTTAAAGCTAGCTCGTATATATGTATGTATGTATATATATAACAATTATGTATATTGTATATAGGGCATGCAGATCAACGTTTTCCTTGTATTAAATGCATAAATATGTCAATTATTATAACACTAAACTTTGATAGTTAACTTTGAGATACTTGAGATTTGTACAATTTGACATGGAGCTAACTCATTTGAGAATTGTCTAAATCATATATTGATATATACACAGCGAAGTTTGGCTTGCTAAAGCAGCTCGTAATATTGCATAAAGGAATGTATGTATATAGTTATTATATATTATATTGCTTTAATTGATTACTCCGTAAAGAACTCTAGGATGTTATCTCCGATGCTTGCACCTGCATTAGCTCCTGCACAATGCGATATTCGTGGCAATCGGCGCAGAGGAGGCGCCCATTGGACTGATTGGTGCGTTGCACCTTCTCATGGCACACGATGTGGACCAACTTGAGATTCTTTAGAGAGAATATCTCCAGGAAGTACTCCAGCACAGAGACGTCCACAACGCGTTTGTTGTGCAACGCGCATTTGCGCTGCGGCTGTGTCACCAGCTCTTGGACATTGGCCACCAACGTCGGCAAAATGGTGCGACACAGTTCGATTTGATGGTCAAGATTCCACACTTGAAACAATATGAGATTCTCCCGTGAAGCATATGGATTGATGGTGTGCTGCAGCGAGCAGTAATTGCCATTGTCCGAGTAGGCGCCCTGGCAATAGAAGTCGCCCAAGTCCGAGCAGAGCGAAACGGACCATTCGTCTAGGATGGCATTTCGCGACGTATAATCTTTAATGACTTGCCGCAGCCGCTTGTTGGGCACGCTCGCCGCATCGGGCTCCTCTGAATCCCCATGCTGTTGCAGCATCTCATGCTTCAGCTCACACTTTCGATTGAACATCATCGAAAAGTAATCGCAGCCAATGAGAAGATAGCGAAATTGCTCCAGCACCGAGTTTATGATTTGCCTGGCCTTGGCATTCTGTCTGTACAGTGGATTACGCGTCAGTTCCTCCTTGGTCTTGTAGTAGTAGCCACGCACACGTGTCTGCGCCCTGACGGCCATGGCCTCCTCCTTGGACTGAAAGCGTTCTTCGCTGCCCTCGAACCACTCAACGTGCTCGGCCTTCAGGCTGAGATGCGCTTTCGTGTTGTCCAAGGCCCGTCGCTGCTTCTGCTGCTCATACTCCGTAATCATGCGCCGAAACTTGTCGGGATGCTGCTCGATAAAGTCGTAGAAAATGTCCGCGACCTTCAGCAGCGGCGACTGTTGCCGCATTTTCTCAAACTCAAAGTCAGCATCTGTTATGGAATGTAAAAGAATTTATTTAATTTAATCATCGCTTTATATACAAACTTCGCTCACCCGTTGTGATGACTGCATCGGGTCCAGCCACAATGAAGAGCGTTTGAGCTGGCAAACTGTTGAAATACTCCTCGTCGGAGACTTCAAAGCCATCAATGGCCAGATAAATGTGCAGCTCCTGCAGCTGCAATGTAAGCAAGCGGAAAGGCCATGAGTACACTGCCCTTGACTCGTTATACCCTCAGCCCTGACCTAAGGCGGATTCGAGTTAGCAACAGGTGTTCCCCTTGTGCTTTGTTTGTTTTCGTGGGGCATGCGCATTTCGGGCACGAGTATTTCATGACATTGAAGCGTGTAGAGCGTCAAGCAAGGCGGAAGCCAGCCAAAGGAAGCATTGGCCTTGAAACTTCAGGGCCAGGGACGAGGGGCGGGGCAGGGTCAAATGTGGGCGAGTGTGGGCCGAGGCGACTTTTCTCGCTGTGAAGCAACGCAATTCGCCAAATATTTTTAAGCACTTACCGGAAATTTGAGCTGTGCCTTCTGTAGCAGCATTTCTAATGAATTGGCGCCAATACCGAATTTCCGTGAGCGCTCATTGTCTGTTATTTTATAGCCCAGCATTTTGGCTGGAGCTTTTAGGCTTTTATGTTTATCTGGATCCTTGTCCAGAGCTTGGTTCACTTTGCTACAGTTGCTGCGTGTGGACGGCGCCATAATTGCTTCCTTAATGTAGTTGAGCATCTAAAAGTGATGAACTTGTTAAATTGACTTGATTTGACTTCGTATATACGACTAAAATAATACTTTGTTTGGCAAAGCCTTGCAACAAGCTTCCTTTTACGCGCACGAATATAAACTTATGCGGCAGCGTTGCCAGTGTTTTGAAGTTTAACCAACAGCAACAGTGCTGCGCTATTTGTATGCAATGGCTTGATAAGCATCATTTACCGCTAAATTACACATGTGCAATATATTTATGTACTTATAATTAATTGGAATTATAAAAATGTTGTAATAACATCCATTGAAATTGCTCTAATTTTAGTAACTTACTATTTAAGCTACAGTTAAAATTGATTTAAATAGACAGATTCTTAAAAACCCGCTATAATACAGCACTGATGGGCAAGTGGCTGAGTACTGGTGCTGCCAGCTAGCTGCAAATTGCTGGAGTACGGCCACACTATTTGCCGTTGTTCAGGCAAAATCAGCTGTTTTCCCAAAGTGTTGTTCAAAGTAAATTTTTTGCAGTAAATTTAAATAATAATTTAGTATAGTTTCACTATGTGCAACAGCAATTACGTAGCGTAACGCCGAACGGAAGCCGCAATGCATTTGCGACCGCGTTGCCGCGAATGGCTGCCATTGGCAACGCAACAACTGCGACTCCGCAACCTGGCGCGCATCCAAGGAGTAAACATTACGTGCATCCCATACGCCGGCGAGGACATTGCCGCGGAGGACTACGAACTGCTTATCTACTACACATTGCACGCCGATAAGGCCAGTGAAGCGTTTTACACCAGCGAGGCATTGCCGCAGCGCCATCAGCAGCAAAAGTGGGCGGAAATCTGTGCGGGCGACGCCGTCTGGCGCAAATCCAATGCGCAATGCGTTTGTGTGAAGGTCTGGGCGAAGTACCAGCCGACCGCCCAGTGGCCCAGCGGGCCAAACGACATAGAGCAGCCCGCGGAGACGGCGCCAAGGTACGAACGATTCGAATAGTATCATGCAACACGAACCATGAAGAATATCGCTTATTGTTTATGTCTCATCCTCGCGTTTATTTTTACAGTGCGCAGCTGACGCAGCGCTTGGCCAACGTGCAGTTGACACCTCATACGCTGCCACGCCCACCGGAGCTCTTGTTCAGCTGGGGCGTTTACTTCTCTGGCCTAATACCGTTGGCCCCACTGGCATTTGCTAACTGCCGGGCGAACTGTTTGATCTTTTATCTAAACGGCGAGCACTTTACCTCCCCAGAGCTAATCAGCGAGCAGGGTCTGCATGCCCAGCTGCGTCTGCAATACGAGCGCTACGCCGACTACGACAATAATGAACGGACTGCGCCGAGCGATGGCGGTATCAATTCGCCGCCCGTGAGTCGCAGCAACAGCCCCGTGCTACAGATGAGCACGATGCGCTACGCGCAGCTGTGCTGCCAGCGGGCGAACATGCGGCGCAGCTACAACTTGGAAAATCTGCTGATGCTGCAGCGGCGACAGCGAGACAAGCTCAAGAAGCTGGGCGATTTGGTGGAGCTGAATACCGAAATCGCGCGGCTCAGCGTTCGTTGCATCACACGCAATGAGCTGAGACTGAAGCCGCGCACCACTTCAATCTCCGGCTCGTCGTACGGCAGTCACTACTCGCAACATAATAATCATTCCATGGGACGAAAGCTGAGCGTGCTGCTGGCCGAGCAACATGAGATAGCGCCCCTCACGCTCTACAGTGCCCAGCGGCTGATGCAGCAGATCGAGACATTGCGCTGCAAGCAGCGTTTGCTACAGACTGAACGCTCCACCTGCCAGGAGCGCAATGCGGGACGAAAGGAGTGCCTACAGCTGCTGCGAGAGCAGCGAGAGGAGCTGCAGATAAAGCTGCACAATCAGCGGCTGCAACTGGAGCAAGAGCGTCTGGAGTTCCGCACACTGCTGCCGCAGCAGCAGGCGCAGCGCGACCAGAAGCGCCAAGTCCTATTGCAGGCGAGTATATTTTGAATATCTAGAGACTCTCCATTATTAATATTTGCAAATTCTATTAAGCAGCTGGAGCGTCGCATGTCCACGTTGGTGCTAGAGCTGCAGGAGATCTACAATATCAAGAGCTTGGGCGTGCAACAGTTCAGCATTTGCGGCATCGCCTTCCCCCACATGGAGCAGTATACGAGTGAATCGCGGCAGGCAGCTAATGCGCAGCTGTTGGGCAATGTCTCGCCGCTGGCGGTGAGCGCCGCGCTCGGCTATGTGGCGCACCTGGTGCAGATGCTGGCCTTCATTATGGATCGCCCGCTGCGAAATCCCATATTCTATGAGCCGTCGCGTGCTCGCATTGTCGACGAGATCAAGGAGCTCACCTATGCGACACGAGAGTGAGCTAGCTGTTCAATTAAATAACCGAATTGCCTGATTCCCTGTTTCTAATACTACGTCCAATTTGAATTGCAGATTTCCTTTGTATACGCGCTCCATTCTGCCATCTCAACAAACCAAGTACGCCATCTATTTGCTGCGGCAGAACGTTTCGCAGCTGTGCTACGACATAACGGGGCGCTGTGATATGCGCAACACGTTTGGCAATCTGCTGGAGCTTTTCGATACGCTGCGCTACATCGAGCGCACCCAACGCGATGAGATCGATAACGGCGAGAAATTGTCCACGAGTGCGGCGAGACATGTCAACGGCTTGACCGCGGCAGTGGCCAACTCACAACTATCGCAATCGCATTCATCAGTGGACATGAATCATGTGCCGTTGCCAACGTCGGCAAATGCGGCCAAAGATGCGTTGCTACAGCATTTGCTGCCTTCGGGCGTGAGTCAAGCTCTGGCTATCGAGGGCTATGCGTCAACGCAGCGGTATGACAAATTATTAATTTACCGTGATATATATTGAACATAGTTTAGAGCATTGTACAGGGAACTCAAGCCACAGTTTCATTTTGTGTAGATAATATATTTAGCTTAAACATTTTGCAATTCAGCGCAGATGGACGTTAAAAAATACTAATATACTTATAAGCTATACTTACTTTTTATATATCCTCGTTAATGTCGTATTTGTTTACCTTTTTCAGCATCTGCCGCTCTGTGGGCTCCTATTCCGATGGCGAGGAAGATTTTCGACCCAGGTTGGAGCAGAACTATTCAAATTCAGACTCAAATATAACACTTCAAACGGAGCGCAGATAGAACACGCGTTATCAGGCTGCGGAGCAATATAACCCTAATATATATACATATATATGTAATACGTATACATGATAATAATACGACTATCTATATTTATGTAAACTAACGTAAAGCCCTCAAGAAAATCAAAGCAACCTATTTAAGCGTTACGTAGCGTTGCGTTGCGGTTTAGCAAAATTATATTTTTATTTGACCGCTTTAAACGTATTATGTGCTTGAAACACTTGTGTATGTATTTTTAAATAATAGACACTTTTTGATGAGCGACAAAGGCAGAACTGGTTTAATGTGTGCATATTTACTTGTTTCTTTGATAAGATCTCGTTATAAATTCCCGTTCTTTGTTTATATGGTAATCTATTAAGGTACATAAAAGAACAATGATCAATAAATAACATTTTATAAAACAAAATAAAATCCAATAAAGTTAACTAACCGTGTGTGCTTATGTTTAACTGAAATCAAATTAGAATATTGCTGAGCTCGTTTTCCAATTGGAGTTAGTACAATCAGAGACGGCCTGCCAAGGGTCTAGTTAGCATAGTAGATGCTCAGGAAAATTATTTACCTGGAACTCATTTAATTTAAGCTGTTTAGAAGAAGACATACATATTTTATAATTACATTTTAACAAACTAATGTTTTACAAGATTCCTTTAAAAATCCAGTTTGGCGCCTAACGCTTTTTAACACACAAACTGCGAAGCTTTTTCCAACACTGCAAAATCAGCTGTTTGCCAGTTTGGCTAAATTTGTACAATTGGCCAGTGGCCACTAGCAACACATTTAACGTAAATAGACGGAAACGTGCTCAAACATGTGCTAAATTGTTTATAAAAATTAGTTAGATTTATTAGAATACCTCGACACACAAGTGCGGTAAACAACTATCGAGCTTTTAATCAAAATGTGAACAGAAGAAGAGTTGAAAATTTCTTATTGCATGTGTTTAGTTTCTAGTGTGTGTGCGTGTGTGTGCGTGAGCGAGTGTGTGTGTGTGTGCAACTGTGTGGCCTGGGCCATTGGTAATAAAACTTGCAAGTGCCGCGTTGTTATTGTTGCTTTTTTATAGTTTTATATTGTGATACCGATCGAKGTGCTACTCCGCAATAATAATAATTGATAAACAATTATTATCAATTGGCATTTTTAGAAGTGAGCATGAGTGGTTCGATTGACGGATCCGCTAGATGACGTCGACGGGGAACGCCCGAGTGCTTGTATGCGTGTGCTCAATATAATAAAGAGTCGTGTTTGCCCAGCTCCCCCATAAAAGTTTACGCGCCCAAATAAAGACAATTGATAAGGCAGCAGTCACACGTTGTGTTTGCTCAACAAATAAATTGTTGTCAAGTCCGGCTGGCTGCATTGGAGTTCACTGGAAACGTGGCAAGCTAAGGCTGGATAAAGTTCCATATGAAGGAAAGCGGAAATACATAGAAGTCAACAGCTGCAAAACTGCACTGAGAGAATTTGTGCAAGTTTTGGCCAAACACACAATACGGCACACCTGTCAAGCGCGCTCTTGCACTCGCGAGCTCACTAGCTCTGCGTCTCTCTCTCTCTCACACACACACACACACGCAAACAAACGCATTCAGCAAATACCCATAAATCGTATTTATATGCATATACAATATAGAACGCTCTCTTACGCCATGACTGATAACGAGCTGCCGCTACGTGACTTTGACGAAGAGAGCGAAGAGACTGATTCGGAAACAGAATTGCTCATACGCCACACTGACGCAGCCATTACCAATAGCAACAGTAACAGCAACAGCAACAGCAAAAGCAGAAGCAGAAGCAGAATCAAGGGCAACGTCAACAGTGGGCAAAGACGACGCAAAAGCTCAACTGGTTACGGCGGCATCGGCGGCATCGGCAGCCCCAATAGCCGCGTCGGCAGCGGCGCTGGCGGCAGCTTTCTGGGCAATCTATTCAGTCTTGGCTCAGCCGCCGGCCAGATACGTTATAGAAATG